ATCGAGGAAAATCTTAAAAAAGGAGAAAATTCAATGGACATTTTGGAGTCAATAATTTTTTTTCACCCTTAATTCTCGAGTGCATTCCTCCTAACGAAAATATTTAAACAAAGAGTTCACATGTACTTTGGTGCTAACGACCTTTTCAAGGGTTGACTTTTGGTATTCGGCTAACAGAAAACAACCGTGAAATAAAGGAATAAACAGGGATTCGGGTGCAAGGGCTGAATATCGATACCCTTTTGTCGTAAACAAAAGCGATTTAAAATGGGGAAAAAGTTGTGAACTTTTGACAGCTATTGCACACCTACCACCTGCACTCAACAGCTATTCTTAACGTCCCTAACTACTGCTTTGGTGGCCAAATTCGAGAAACCGTGACAAGAGAAGAGAGACTAGCCAAATTAACGTCTTATTTTGATGTGATATGGTAAAACAAGAGTCCTTTGATCATTCACGATTTCACCTCCTCACTCGCAATATGAAGATTTGCCTCCCCTCTAAAATCTGAATTTCTCGTCCCATATGTCATCCAGGGAAAAGTCAACCCCCATAAAGTAGCAAACAGACTAAGGATCGGTAGAAAAGTTAGATTCCCACGGATCATTAGAAGCGCCATCTATGAGTGGATGAATTTCAAATGATAGGGTAGATAATACAGGTGGCGAGATGAACAGGAAAGAGAGAAAAGGAGGCTAATTCCGGATAGAAAAGGGCAAACCTGGATAGCCAAACAGATTCAGTACATTGCTACTCGAATGGTATATAAGTAGCTAACAAAACCTGCCCTACCTCATCCGAGAAGAGGGTGCCCATGGCCCGCCCAATCTGCTGGTACTTGGCCCCGTTGCCTGCCGTGCCGAGGAGGATGAACATGAAGCGCGTGGGCACTGGGACCTCTGTCATCTCGCCCAGGCGACAGGCCTCTCGTAAGCGCACAAAAGCCGCTACTGGGTGACGCAGAAAGTACGTCTCCCCTACCAATATATTCACTGCTTCCGCGCCGTGTGGCACCTTCTTGAAGAAGTGGTGGTCATACTGAAGTAGAGGGAAGTTGAGCAAGAGGATAAAACTTCCGTGATGGAAGTGTTTCATTTAAGTCAAAAGGCAGTCAAATGACTGATTCGAGAGGGTCTGCGTGAATACTCGAGAATTCCCGTTAGTTTGGACTCCTAGGGAGCAAACAAACTCTTTCTTGTGAAGGAAAAAAACATTGTAAAGAAGTCGGAGAAATCTGAAGTTGAAAGCTACGAAGAGGGATGCCGCTTAACCAACAAGTTTCTACAGCAACACTTTTAGTAAGTAGCTCGGTCGCCATATTTTTATGCTGAGATAGAGAAAGGTAATGACAACGCACCTCTTTGCAATAAGGCGGATCGTCCTTGAACTGTTGAAAAGGTGGAGGGGTGAAAGGAAAAATGGAAGGTAGAATGAGTTGTATTTGGTGAGAAAACAAAGCAGAGGGATAAAGTGTGGAAAGACGAATAATATAAAGCCCGGAAAATTTTGCAGACGTAAAAAGAAAAACGTAACGGACGCATCGCATACATACACACACGCATAGAGCAGAAGGATGAGTTGTACAACAGAGGAGAAGGGAATATGAATCACTTTTGTTTGAGCATTTAGAACTTGGGGACTTTGTAAAAGAAAAAGAATCATTCAATCGCTTGGTAATGTGAAATGCCAAGCCGAATTGTAAATTCATCGCAGGAGTGCAGAGTGAGGCATTCAAAGTAGAAAGCATTGTTTTCACCTAGGTGAATTCAAGTTTGGACACGGATTTACTCGAACATTTGAGCACGGGGGTGGAGGACTGAGTGACTCAGACCGTGGCGGATAACCAGTCTGTTAAGAGTGCGTCTCTCGAGCATTCCAGAAATTCAATTTCCATTAATCTA